GGTGGTGGATGCCATTCCGCTCGCCTCCAGCCGCCACCAGCTCCCCGGCACCGCAGGCAGCGTTCTCCTCCGAGGCCGCGGCGCCGGCACCCGGGCAGCCTGGACCCTCGTGCCCTGCCCCCGGGGCCTCGCGCGGGGGGCGCCCCCGGACACCCCCTGCGGACCGGGTGGAGGAGGAAGAGGAGGAGGAGGAGGAAGAAGACCTGAACTCCCACGCCACCTAGGGCACCTGACTGCGCTGCTCCCACTTCGGTTGAAGGGGTGGAGGAAAGCGGCCTGGAGAACCATGGGGGGCTGCGAAGTCCGGGAATTTCTTTGGCAATTGGGGTTCTTCTTGCCTCTGCTGACTGCTTGGTCTGGCGAATGCAGTCACGTCTCCAACAACCAAGGTAAGGAACCGGGCGGATGAGCGGGAGGGGCTAGTGACCTGCGGACCAGGGCACCGGGTGTCTCCTGCAGATAACTTGGTCTGGGGGTCTGCTACTCCTGGCTCACCTGCAGACAGGAGTGAAGATGTTCCCATATCCCAGAGCCTGGCTCCCTTCTCAGGACTGGTGACTCCCCAATGCCTTTACAAGGCGGGATGGTCAGCAGCAGCATGGGTCCCACTGCTGCTGGCTGAAAGGCCAATGCCCCCTCTGTGCTGTCTCCACAAGAGGTCAGGCCCCTTGGCACAGACTTAATGGAGACTTCTGATTCTTGGCAGGTGCTCAGAGCAAGGAAACGCTAGCTTCTCTCACATGCTTATATGCAAGGCAGGTCGCCCCCGCTGTACCCTGTGGCCACATAGCAGCTTGTGGTGGCCAGTGTCTCTTCTCCCGGTCTTCCATCCAGGCCCGATGTAGACTTGTTCCACAGCACTTCTAGCTCCAGGTGCTCACACATCCCTACCTGTGGTTCCTCTTTCCGGAGGGCGGGGGTATAACAACATAGGTGTGAATTTCCAAGTTGCGAAGATCCCATTCTAGACACAGATTCTTTTCTGAGCTTTGTGTTTCAGTGGGTTATGGGGTAAAACCCCCGAACCAGACTTACTGCCGTGGAGTTGATTCCTACTCATGAAACCCTCCCTGTACGAATAGGGTCAAACTGCCCCAGTGGGTTTCCCAGACTGTCAATCCTTACAGGAGTAGTATAAGCCTTGTCTTTCTACAGTAAGTGGTAAAGTGAAGAGGGACGTGAAACATTCTGAATATGACCTTTTATTTAAACATATTGATGGAATTTTAGAGTGGATTTTTGCTATAGATACTACAGGGTTTGCCAAAAGGACCCTTACGTATCCTAAATGCTCTTAGACTAGGCGGAGAACAGCTGTAAAAGTTTTCCAGCAGGAGCCTTGCTGGATGCTCCCATTGGCAGAGCTCAGATGACCACTGCTGTCAACCTGCTATTTCACTACTTCTTAAAGAATCCACATACAAGTGGTTGTCATCAATTATAATTATCATCTAACACATTGTGTGGATGTTAAAGAGTCTAAGATTAATAGGTAGATTAAAATGGAACTCACATGAGAAGAGAATGTGCACTTTTTTTTTGGTCAGGGGGAAAACTGAAAGAGGAGGCAAATACAGCAATGGATTCTTTAAAATTTTACTCTCGAAAAATATGTGACCATTTTATTTAACCTATAATTCAGAACCAATATTGTGTTCTCATTTATAAAAGTGGTGCATTTACATGAATTTCTATTACTTTTTTTCTACCTGCAGAATGTAATCATGTATTCATATGTAAATGTAAATTTGGGAATCATCATTTTCCTTATGTCTTTGAAAATGTATCATATAAAAAGTACCAGCTATAATGCCATATATTCTCATATCCTCTTATGGTGGTGTATACCTTTGTACACCATTTCTCATCTGCTTCTAAAGGTTACTGGTATTAGATATGAAAGGCGTAATTCTTCATTCTATCTTTGAAAATAGAAGATTGCTGAAAAATAACAAAAATTATTTACTTAGCACTCATTGCTTCATGTGGAGAAGAGGAAACTATTTAGAAATTACAGAGTGAGATAATCATATTTTACCTCATGTTTGCATTGAGGCATATTAAAGAGACATACTTTGAGAGTCAAGCTTTACAGAAGTTTTGAACATTTATTTCTAAGCAAAAATTTCCCTAAATTAACACTTATTTGTCTGGTTCAGAAGGATAGCCTAATACCTACTCTAGGCTCTGGGAATATTAACATAAGTAACACAGAATTGTGAATTTCAAAATGCTATTTTACCAGATCATATGAAGTGTAATAGTATGACCTTTAAAAATATTCATATGAAATTTAAGGGTACAGAGATGTTATTAGTCAACCTCTAGCAGTATTTTAAAAAATATTTTAGTGACTTTCTTGTGCTATTTGGAAACATTTTACCTCAAGTGTAGGCCAAATATATGCAATTTTGTGTTTTTATCAATTAGTTTAATTAGAGAGTACTACACAGTTTATATATCAGTTAAGTAGGATTATATAGGTGGTTTACTAAAGCCTTTAATTTGCTTTTGTACTAATATACTAAAATTACAGGCTATACATAAGAACATACTTGAATTAAATAGAACCTAAAGGCTAAATTTTGAAGTTTCAAGAGTTAGTCTAAAGAGTATTATAGAAAAAGTATGATGGGATATTTTTCATAAAACATCAATGAGTACTTACAACATAGTGTATATAGCCTAAGGTCATAACGATTAGAAATTTTTCTCTGATAATACTCTTTCTTATATGGAAATAATTTTCACATACTGAAATCATCCTACTAAAATGTATCAACTTTCTCAATGTTATTCTTTTGAGCATTTTGGAAATATTTCATAACTTATAGTTTCATATATTGACTTATAGGTAATAAGAACCAAAATAGATCTCATCAATTTTAATACTCAAATATTGAATATTAAGGTATTATATGTACAATATAGAAAAGGTTAAATATAAAATATGAATTTGAATTCTACAGCTAAAAGTAATATCAGGAATATGCATAATGTTTAGTTCAAAGAGACTATTTCAATTTTCTGTTAATTTTTCATTTTTAAAGTTCTACAATAAAATTGTGTGTGTTTTTTTAAGGAGATTAAATTTTATTTTTATGTAATTTGTTTTCTTGATTAAGGAAATTTACAAAATAAAAATTTGAATGTAATTATTGGTTGTTAGTTGTTAGGTCTGGCCAATAGGTTCCAACATAGACCCCCCATGCACAACAGTGCAAAACACTGCCAGCCTACCTTACACCAGCGTCTCAGTTGTTGAGAGTCTTTCTCTGTTTTGCCGACCCTCGACTTTACCAAGCATGCTGTCCTTCTCCAGGGACTGGTCTCTTCTGACACCAGTAGAGAGTACCGGAGACAATGTCTTCCCGGCCAAGCTTCAGAGATATAGTCTCCAAGATACATTTATTTATTCTGTTGGCAGTTCATGGGATATTCAGTATTCTTCACTAACACTACAGTTGAAATGCATCAACTTTTTGGTTTTTGTTGTTGTTTTTTTTTTTGTTTTTTTTTTCTTCTTGTCCAGATTTTCCATAGATAGGAGGCGATTAAAAGTACCATGGCCCTGGTCAGGTATACCTTTGTTCTCAAAGTGACGTGTTTGATTTTTAGCACTTTAAAGAAATTTTTTACAGCAGATATATGCAATATAATATATAGTTTGATCATTTGCTTTCTTGACTGCTGCATCTAGGGATATTCATTATAATGATCTGTTGTACCAAATAAGTAAAATCCCTCAGAGCTGAAAAAATAGTTTAATCCTCACAAGTCGCAACATCCCCTCAATATTTACCACAAAAAGCAAAAAAGGACAAGAAGCAAATGCCCTGCTATTGAATTGATTCGACTCGTATATATTGACCCTATTAGGACAGAAAACCTTATCTTTCTCCCTTGGAGTGCTGATGGATCTGAACTGCCGACCTTGTGGTTAGCAGCCCAGCTGGGTACTCATTATGCCACCAGGATACCTTGATTCCTATAGTTATTAAAAAACAAAATCAAAACAAGCAAGCAAACAAACAAAAACTAAATCCTTACTGTGAAAAGACTCCCAACTCATAATGACTCCCTAGGACAGAGTAGAACTGCCCCATAGGGTTTACTGGCCCGTAATGCTTGTAATCTTAGCAGGATGAAGACGGTCACATCCTTGTCTGCAGAGCATTGATAGGTTTAAAACCCTGCCCCTTCAGTTAGTGGCTGAGGGCTTTCCCCACTCCATCACCCTGGATGCATAGTTACTTAAACTAACAAAAATAAGGAATAAAACAAACATAAGGAAACCTCAGTTCTGTCCAATTGATTCCCACCCAGAGTGACTCTCTAAGACAGGGCACAACAGCCCTCTAGGATTTCCAGTGCTGAAAATTTTCTGGAAGCAAACTACCACATTAGGCAATACAGATTTTAACAAAAGCATTTTTCTTCTCAAAATGTATAACCTTTATTCCTTTACTGGCCACTTAGCTGACCACAAAATGCAGTCTTCCTTAATAGATCACTTACATTGGTTACTAGCCATTAGGTATCCCTTCCTCTAAAGATTATTTTATTTTCATGCATTATTTTCTATATCATAAAAGAGTTACTTATTTCTTAGGGTGTGCCTTATGCTTCTGAAAATAATCAAATGGATGGGAAAATAGGTTTTAAGTCAAAGTATAGTTTGGATACATGGCTTTATTAGCTTATTTTCCTGACAATATTGTGCATTATTTTTTCAGGAAAATCAAGCAATGTAGTACTTGGTTCCATTAGCTATTAATTTGAATGAATTAGCTGGAAGATTTATTGGGCTTAATGGAATGTAAAAGTGAATATACCTAGGGAGAAAATATGTTCTTTAAAACAACAACAACAAAACCTGGCCTAAAATGAATTGAACTATCATAAATTTGACCCAAACATTTTAAGTTTGGATGTTGTTCCTATAGTTATAGACATGGAGAAATTATGAAACTTTTAGAATGTTCACAAATGAACATTAAATAGTGGACTTATTTTTTAGATTTCTAAAATACAAATAAAAATAGGTGAGTTATAAAGACTCTTTCTGAAAACTACCACTTGCCTGTTGTGCTGTAGTGGCTTGTGTGTTGCCTTGATGCTGGAAGCCATGCCTTTAGTGTTTCACCTACCAGTGTGGTGAAATGGATGGGTTTCAGTAGAGCTTGAGCATACAGCAGACTGAAAAGAGCCAATCCACTTTTCAGGGATCAGCCACTGAAAACATGATGGATGTCAGGAAACATTGTCTGATTATAATACTAGAAGATGAGCCCTCAGGAACGCACTCACAATACGGCTGGGGGAGAACTGCCGCCTCCCCCTAGTTCAGCCCTGGTGACACTGATGGAGAAAAGCGTCCCAGACCTGC